AGAATCGTTTTTCGCTTCATGCTGATGCCTTAACAATACATAAGTTGTGTGGGATAAAATGGCCGAAAAAGACAAGTGAGACTAAAATGGCAAGAACTGGGGTATTAATTATTGTCAGCTATCCATACCCAACCTCAGGGGTAACAAACCCCGAATCTTTAACCCGCGGCCTTCTTGGTTAGTATTTCAGCACTCTAACCATAGCACCAAGGGCTTTCTTCCCTGTTTGTATCGAACAGACATGCACACGCTGGTATATAGGCGCTCACCGATCGGTCACAGAACACCCTCTTCTCGTTGGCCGTTGGAACACTTTTTAAATGAGTTAATCGCAAGATACGAAATATGCACAGTAACTGATTGTTTTTTTTCCACCATTGCATGTCGAACTCTATTTCAGGACCTAGCACATACTTTGCCCGTGAGGTGGATGTTGAACAGATGTGGATAAATGCACATATCTTTTCAAATCAAAAGAAAGACATATATGTGAACAAAACAGCTGCCATTAATTGACAAAAATTACAGAGAAAAATCCCAAAGTTCTGTATCACTGGATAAGTGTTATAACACTATCGCTTTTTTAGAATGCATGATCCGATTTTTAGTTTACGATACTCAGACTGCTATTGGACGTATGTTAATGTCGAAAATGGGATAAGTGGATTACAATAATGCAGGTCTTGTGGCGATAAGTCGTTAGTACTGCCGAAAAGGTGCGGAATTATCGTCTTTCAACATTATCAAAAATATTAGCTTCTCATCGCTCTTTGTAGAGTAAAAAAACAACGCTAATCACACCCCTTCCGGGAGGCTGCGGTACCAAAGTTTCATTTCGTTGAAAGAACTTAAGTCAACTTGATTAGAGTGTGGAAGATAATTAATTGGATTTTGACGTTGCTTTTCGGCTTGAAGTTTTCGTTCCGTAAGGAGGAGAGATTTGTAAGTATTTCTAGAGTTTGGTAAAGTCCAACATTATATTATACAATTTCTGAACTGTATGATCTAGTAAACGGCACCATCGCGCAAGTCATATTGGGCGAATGCACGACAGAAATTTTCAATTAGAAACCCTACAGAGGAATACACAATTCGTTAGAAAAAAACGAAAAAAAAACGGCCTGATTTAATGTTACAAGCTTAAATAGAGGCATCCTCGCAAACGATGTGATTTTCTGACATGATGTGGATCCCCTCCAACTTAGGCTGATTCTTCCAGCAACAGCAGAATCGGCTGCCATCATATTAAGTAATCCGGTCTTGTTCGTAGAGATGAATATCGCACAAGTTCCGTGTTTACCGCGAAAAAAGTCACTTGACTGCGTTGCATTTTATGCTGTCTCCCGATTTCTCCTCCCACGACATGACTCTACTTCTTGCTTCTTCTAGCCCTCAACAAAATATTCCCACACCCGCTCATTAGTTAAGACAAACGTTAATCTTGCTCTCAAATTACTGCAATGTTTCCCTCAACGCCATTCTCATATAAGAACACTGCATTGATCAGAATTTAAAGGAAGGGAGCGCATACTAGCCAAAGTTTTTCTGAATCCCATTGTGCGAATTTTCTCAACTGTATACCTATTTGCACAATGTGGTGGTAAAAGTGCATTTTTGACTGGCAGTAAACTGC